CCGATTTTCTATCGATTAATTATCAAATCAAATGTGCGTACCTTTCCCTCCTTCGAACTTTCCGGAAGAGAAGCCAACGGTTCTTGTCACGTGACAAAGTCAATCTCGAAAACATCCTTCCAAAAAACGTCTCAAAAACATCAATCGTCAACTTAATTATATTTTTAATTACGAATTAAAAAAAGAAAATATATCATCTATCAAATTTTCTATCGCATTAAATACGGTTGTTAATAATTTCATATACCAATTAATTAATTATAGAAAAGTTAAAAAATCGATTAATTATCAAATCAAACATACGTACCTTCACCTTCTTCGTACTTTCCGGAAGAGAAGCCAACGGATCTTGTCACGTGATAAAGTCAATCTCGAAAACATCCTATCAAAAACGTTTCAAAAACATTAATCATCAACCTAGTTACATTTTTAATTACAAATTAAAAAAAGAAAGTATATCATCTATCAAATTTTCTATCGCATTAAATACGGTTGTTAACAATTTCATATACCGAATAATTAATTATCGAAAAATTAAAAAATCGATTAATTATCAAACGTACCTATTCCTTCTTCGCTCTTTCCAGTAAAGAAGCCAGCGGTTCTTGTCACGTGATAAAGTCAATCTTGAAAACATCCTTCCAAAAAACGTCTCAAAAACATTAATCATCAACCTAGTTACATTTTTAATTACAAATTAGAAAAAGAAAATATATCATCTATCAAATTTTCTATCGCATTAAACACGGTTGTTAATAATTTCATATACCGAATAATTAATTATCGAAAAATTAAAAATTACCAAATTTGCAATTTTGTTGCGATTTATTCTTAATAGTTCGATACTTAACGTTTGGCAGCCCTGCCCCTCTAACGTCGGTCTACAATCGTCTGTGACGGAGACGTACATCGAAATGTGTGGTGCGTAATATTCGTATTTCGTATGATTTTCTGTTTATAACGAATATATTTTCGACCTGTATAGATTTAGTTGTTCAAACGATAAACTTAAGCAATGGGAAGTGTAAGTTAAATGATCAATAATGTTTATTTCAACCAACAAGAAATAAGTGAAATCGATGTTTCGACACGGAACGAATAAAGCACGTGTTCTTCGTTCGATTTTGATGGAAGAAGAAAAACAGAGATTGGAAAGCAAATGGAAGAGAGTTTTTATCCATACGATATCTTTCAACCAGTAAGTACAAATAAAGTACCCTTATACTTGTCGTGGCAAGTTTTTACCGGTGTACGTGCTACATAATCGTACACCGACGCCACGTACGTAAGAAAATATTGTCAGCTCCATCTATATGCAACTACATTTTGACGATTGAAACGTATACGTGGATACGTAGCCATCTTTGATATTGTTAATTTTCCCGCGTAATTGTTAAGATATTACAATTACGAATATTTCTTTCGAGCAATTTCGACGCGATTCGTTTTAACCTCACAACGTTACGATACGACTGGTGACGATGTGTATGTATCTTTTCAACTTCTTTCGTTCTTTCTGTTATTCTATTCGCTTGTTTAACTTGCTACGATTATCGCACGAGCGATTCGTTTAGCTGATCAACTGTTTCGTCATAGTTCGATTAATATCGGAATATACGATTTCGAAAGACGAAAAATTGTAGATCGTTCTTTTCGATTTTATTTTTAAATCGTTCGCAAATGTCGTCGAAGTGAATTTCTTTTATTTGAATTTTTATTTTTTAGTTAATATTTCTTTAAAAGCTGCATAAGTATTTTTCATTTTTTTTTAAATCATTATACCAGATCCTTCTGATACACTGGTTCCCATATGAGGTCCGGGAACCATAATGTGTGTTCTTTCGACAGTTTTTTCCTGTACGAAAGAAGCTCGAAGGAATATGTTTATTGTCAAAGATATATGACGGGAACACGGGGCGTATGTGTAGGAAAAAATTGTATACGTTCCTGGCATCAGGAACGTAAAATGTCTTTCGTTACTTTTTTCCGTTCGTTTTACGTAAGAATAATAATGTCTTTAGACCAATGATAAAATGGATTTTATAATCGGGCCATCATGCGATTGCCATATGTTCTAGCCCCTAGAGAAATTTTCCAAAATTTAAATAGGAGAAAAATAGTTAAAATAGTTAAATTATATAACGAAATTTTTTTTTATCCTTTCAAAGATATTTTATATTAT